TGTAATATCAGCGCAGAAATATTAAAGCCTTTATCAGTAGTTTATTTTTTACCATATATACTGAAAATAGGCACAAACATGCAAATTGCAATATATTATAAATGGGCCATATTTCAGGGTGAAGCAGACAGACCAGTATGGTGGCCCATCGTTGTCACGCGAAAAATTGAAAATAAAAATAAAAAACCGAAAATAAAAAAATTGTTGTAAAAAAACATAAAAATAATTAAAAAAAAAATGAAAATTAAAAAAAAATAAATAAATAAAAACGAAAAAAAAAAAAAAAATTAAAAAAAAAAAAAAAAAAATTGAATAAAAAGAAAATAAAAAGGTTGACAACGATGGTCCGCCTCGTGGCCCATCGTTGTCACGCGTTTTTATTTTTAGAAAATTTGCTTCTGCTTGGGACCAACGTTGTCAGGCATAATCCTACGCGCACAAATGTGTTCCCTGGGTTTCAAACTCACTACTGATTTTCTTGGGCAATATTCAATATGAAAATGTTCTATAAATTCTCCATGCTACAAGTTCAACAAGAAGTAATATATTTATAATAATGATAAGAGAATATAGAATTGAATACGAAAAATCGGAAAATTTGTTTTTACGTGTATAAGGTAATTTAATTGGATAATGCTGCTTAACTACGCAGTTGTCTGGACACTCGCGATGCCGGTACCGTCTTACCAAATACCGGTAGTCGGTTATAGTCGCTTTGCGTCTGACCGTACCGGTAGCCATACAATCAATCATGAAAGAATGGGAGATACGGATAGTCTCGTAGAATATAGACTACTGAAACACTCTCTGCGCCTGCCCCATACCGTACAGCCGTAACGTACCGATCCAGACAAATGATAAATCGCCCGTGCTCAACCATTTATTTCAATCCATACCTCGATCCTAGTAGAATATAGTGAGTCGAGGTATGGATTGAAATAAATGGTTGAGCACGGGCGATTTATCATTTGTCTGGATCGGTACGTTACGGCTGTACGGTATGGGGCAGGCGCAGAGAGTGTTTCAGTAGACTATATTCTACGAGACTATCCGTATCTCCCATTCTTTCACGAGTGATTGCATGGGTACCGGTACGGTCAGACGGTACCGTACCGGCATCGCACGAGTGTCTGAGCAGTTAAGCAGCATTTTCCAAATAAATTATCTTCTACACGTAAAAACAAATTTTCGTATCCAATTCTATATTCTCTTATCATTATTATAAATATATTGCTTGTGGTTGAACTTGTAGCATGGAGAATTTATAGAACATTTTTCATGTTGACTTTATTGGATATTGCTCATGAAAATCAGTAGTGAGTTAGAAACCCAGGAAACACGTTTGTGCGTGTAGGATTAAGCCTGACAACGTTGGTCCCAAGCAGCATCAAATTTTCCAAAAATAAAAACGCGTGACAACAATGGGCCACGAGGCGGACCATCGTTGTCAACCTTTTTATTTTCTTTTTGTCCAATTTTTTTTTTTTTTTTTTTTTCAATTCTTTTTTTTAATTTTAATTTTTTTTTTAAATTTTTTTGTTTTTGTTTCATTTTTCAATTTTTTTTTTTAATTTCAATTTTTTTTTTTATTTCTTTTTTTTTCAATTATTTTTATGTTTTTTCACAACTATTTTTTTATTTTCGCTTTTTCATTTTTTTTAAATTTTACACGTGACAACGATGGGCCACCATAGACCAGTACTGGTTATCGAGAAGCGGCATCAATAAGTCTAATACTATATTATGAAGAAGAAAAAGTCGAACTAAGTATATATATGTAAATTGAAAAAAATGAAGGTCAGTGGTTCCCGACCTTTTTTTTTATATCGCGTCACACTATTTAGCTCTTTCAATATTCGCCACACACCTATCAACAAACATTTCTACTCATAAAGAGTGCGATAGTCGAACGCGAACGAATAATGTAATATAACGAATGTTTTCTTACATTATAGTAAACGAGAGCGTCTTCGGAGCACTTCGAATTATCGTAAAAGTTGTGCGGCCGCACGGGTAATACGTGGTCTACAAACGCACCGCCGATCACGCGTTTCGGTCACTCTTCGTTCCACGTTACGCCCTTATTATTATCACTCGTATTCTCACTTTTTGCACAACCCAATTCATTTTTGTTACAATTCGATATGTTTCTCCCATTGCCAAAATCATTCAATAGTGTTATTGTCGGCACTTGCGAGAGAAATGAAAGAGGCAAACAAACTGTAATTCATTACAACAATTAATTAATATCGCTAAAGTCACTAAATAGATTTAAAGTTGGTATAAACAATTTTCACCGCTGGACGTATCTTTTCACGTTATGCATTTCGTGCAAGGCCCGAGCATAATTTGATTGCAAAGATCATAGCATTTACTATGTCGTAACGCTTATTCGACTTTTCAGACCGCAGCACTATCCGTAAATCGCAAGGGTGGGCAAAATAGTATATTTCTATCGAATAGAATAATTTTATGGAATTGTCGAATATCGGATTGAACTCGGGATTTTATTCCGATTTTCATTTTTTTGGCCAACTCTGATCTTCCTTGTCACCGTTTGTAAATTAACTCTCCCAATTTTAAGCTAAAAATACTATCGTTTCTGATGCTGGAATGCGGATATTTATGAAGACGATAGTTGACTGTTGTGTATGTTAGTATTGTGACAAGTCAAATAATAATTCCTTGGTAAACTTTGAGAAAAACTTCGCAAAATAATTCCTCTTAGTCTGACTGACTCAAACTGTGAGCGTGGATGGCTTTTTTTCAAAATAAGTAATAATTAAAATGGTATACCCTACCATTTGTAATAATATCCATATATATATGGATAACAAAGCTTCAAAATCCCGGAATTTTAGGAAATAATTGCGGGATCGGGATTGAAAAACACATTCCAAATCCCGGGATTGGGATTTCCCGGGGTCCCAACCCTAGTTTCGATAGAAGAAAATTTGAAAAAGGCCAAATAACCTTCCGCAACTTTCCGACATCAATTCGACAATAACGATCAACGGGTCAACTTCAGCTCAAGTCAAAACCTATATCCGACGTACAGTAGACGAGTACGAACGACCAGGTTTAGTTTATTGGACACGTAGTGGACATAACGATCGTTTCAATATTATGTTGTTCTTGTTGTTTGTTCTTGTTGTTTGACACAGAATGACACACCTAGTGGAAATATTAAAAAACCGCTTTTCTCTTCGAATACTGGACCATTTGCTTTGAAATTTTCAGTAATTGAAGATAAAATTCTGTTAGCTCTGTGAGATTTGTTTTTGTCTGCTATGACGTCATTAAACGTTCAACGGAAATCGGACGCCATTTTGTGTCCTACTGTACTGCTTCGCTTGGTGTGAATATATTTGTAGACTGTGATCTGACGGTACGGTAAACCGTACTGTACTGCGAACAGACGTGTCCATATATTTGGGCGTAGCTCTCTTGATAAATGTGTGTAGGTATCGGATAAGATTTACATATTTATCCCGGGAGAGGGGAAAGCCTCTGGGACGAGTCAATCAGCTCGCGAAACAAGGTCTTTCGTCCAGTTACCTGTTCATATCTAGTGTGGGATTAGTAAGCCAGCTATTTTTTTGTTTTCAGATGCATGGACTTGATGGTAGGTTTTAAGTGAACCACTCTGCGATGGCGAGGATTCTATCAATCCTCTCGCACATAAATATCCCTACGCTACGGTAATCAAACCCGAGAACCCACTAGGCCGCGAGCCGAGGCCCTGAAAAACGCCTAGAAAGTGAGTTTCGTAGCGCAAATCTATTAACTATATTTATTCTTCAGTTTTGTATCAAAATGAACATACTGAACGCATTACAGCTTGTTCCCACTAACGGAAGTTGCACATTTTCTGTAAAACAGGCTTCAAAAATCCTGATGCAAAAGTTGGATGTCAAGGGGATTCCCCGAAAATCAATGATCATAGGCTTACAACGACAGAGCATGGAACGTCGCTTTCATTTTATACTGTATATGCCATCGGACGCATCAATTTTTATACGATGAAATCATAAATTAACATCTTGAGCACAAAAACACAAGTTAATCGGTTAAAACCCTGGTGCTAAATTCGATATAAGGTGGTTCCCACAGAATCAATAACTATAGGTTTACAACACAGCATAAGAGCTATCAATTCAAGAGCCCAGCTGCACTTAACACTAATGTATTTCTGTAGCGTTTTGTCTGACCAAAATAAGCCTCTCTCTCACAAGCAACAAAGAACAGCACACGCAGGGTAATCAGAGATGCGATGGCGAGTGCATAAACGCTTAGTACGATGCGCCACACCGACGACCGGAGTTTAAATTAAATTATAGGATGGGATTTATACCGGATGAGAGAAAAGCCGATAAGACGGCTTAATCATATGTCGAACCACGGCCTCTCGTCCGGTTACCATTCCATGTCGGGTGTGGGATTAGTTAGTTACTTGTTTTTGGAAGCATGGATGGTGGAGGAAGCCGTAACCGACCAGCTGTTACATGAACCACTCTACAATGGCGAGGATTTAAGTAATACCCTCCCACATTATTTCCATGGGTTTCGCATGATAATCAGAGATGCGATGGCATGCGAATTCTCAACGCATAGTATGATGCGCCACACCGTCGACCGGAGTTCAAATTAAATTATCAAAAACTTTAGAGAGCAGATTAACTCCCTATTGGAAATTTCGCTTTTATGCTTTACATAAATTAAAAAATAAACATAAACTTGGTTTTTAGTTCAGTTTTTATTCTTTTTTTTTTGTTAGACTTCTATTTATTCTTTCGTGGGTCCCTTCGTCCTGAAATGGCATTTTCACGTTTTTCATATGTTTTGTATTCCTATTTAATGTTCGAATAAATTATATATTTAGTATGAATGAAAAAACTATTTATTTCTGATCAAAAATCCTAATGTAGTGTCGTGCAGGTGCTGCCTTTATTGGGAACCATAATTGTACGCATGAATGAGCATAGGTCAGTGACGAATGTTATTTTCGAGTTGCAGTTTTCGGTTACGTGGCTAGATTTCTCGTTTTTGTGAAAAATGGGTAGTTTTGGGCCAATTTTCGCCGTATTTTTGATATTTTTTGGGTTGTGTTTTGCTCAGGAAAGGGTTGATCAACGCGGAGCAGGCCGATTGAACGATCCAAATGCAGTTTTGGGAAATACGGGACAGCGTGGCAGCCTAAAAGGAGCTCCACAGCAGCACTTCAGGCAAGGTGATCAAGTCGCACGACTAGACCAAGGGGCACCGGTCAGGCATATAGATGATTCTAACCTCGTTAATATGCCGCAGGCTGGTATCCCACGCCAGCCTGTTGTTGGGGAGGAAAAATTGAGGCACAGACAAAGAGCTAAACCACTTATCGCTGGTTTGAGCACCAGTCAAGAATGCGGAGAAGATGTCCAAAGAATCTGTGGTCACAGGAATTTACAAAGTAATTTGGAAGTTCTGGCCTGCGTTACAAATTCAGATCTTGACGAAACCGATTTAAGTGAAGAATGTCACGAACATATTTGGCATTACAAACTTAACATCACAAAAGATCAAAAATTTTCAAGCGTTGCTCGTGAAATTTGTAAACCGGCTTTAGAAAAGTTCCCGCAATGTGCGAAGTTTGATGACGCGAGTGGGAAATTGATTCCTTGCCTTCTTGACGAAAAGGATAAAATCCAGTTAAGGCCGTGTTATCATTTTTTGGTAAAAATGGGGACAATTATTTATAGCGATTATCGGTTAGTTTGTAATTTCATCGAAGACTGTAAAGAGGATATTCAGAAACATCATTGCGCGTTTTTGACTCAAGCGAATAAAGATGGTGACACTGCCGCGCATTCGCAAGGTGCCGTGATAAATTGTCTCGAGGAAAAAATTGTTGACGGTGAAACAGTAAATGAAGATTGTGCGAAACAAATTGTACGACTTTCAGAATTAACGTCTGATGATTATCACCTTGACAGGAATCTTTATTTCGCTTGCAAGGACGTGCGTGAGCGATTATGCGAAGAGGTCCAATCAGGTGAAGGAAAAGTTTATAAATGTCTTTTTCGACACAAGTTTGACCACGAGATGACGCCAGAGTGCCGTGAGGCTTTAACTTTGCGTCAAAAGCTTCTTGCGCGAGACTATAAAGCAAGTTACGAGCTTATGAACTATTGTCAAAAAGATATTGACACGCTTGGATGCATTCATCACCCAGAGTATAGGGTACAAGACGCCAATGATCACGGCGATATTATCGGCCTTTCTGGAATGCTTCTGTGTCTAGAAGAAATCGCTCATCATCAAGATACACAGTCTCACGTTAGCCAGCAGTGTGAAAACCAACTCGCCGATTTCCGACAAATGTTAAGCGAGGATTACCAAATGAGTCCTGAGATAGTACGTGGTTGTTCCACTGAGATAAATATTTGCGCTGAAAAAGAAGAAGTTTTAAAGAACGGGCAAACGATACACTGCCTTATGAATCTGGCTCGAAATAAAGACGGCATTGGTGGGAGCTGTGAAGCCGCGATAATGCATTTATTGAAAGAAGAGGAGGTTTTGTCAGACTATCGCATGGATTACGCGCTTGCTCAAGCTTGTACTCCGGTCGTTCAAACGGCATGTTCTCATCTTAAAGATGGAGATCCAATGATTCTATCCTGCCTTATGGATCATTTACATTCAGACGCGATGGTGGAGGATTGCCGCAATCGTTTGCTTGAGTTACAATATTTCATCAGTCGAGATTTTACCCTGGATCCAATTTTCATGAAAAAATGTAAAAACGATGCGAAAAATCTCTGTGGTATAGAGAAATTTGGAAACACTGAAAATGATGTTGAAATGCCGTACTCTCTTGTAGTATCATGTCTTTATCGACACATTCCCGGGGCCGTTCAACCTCGAGGCGGCCCAGTTAATAAAAAAAAGCAAACATCACGTGGATGTGCAGAAGAAGTTCGAAAAATCATGAAAACGAGAGCGTTAGATTTTCAATTAAATCCAGATTTGGAGAAAGCTTGCCGAATTTCCCTCGGACAATATTGTTCTGATAACGTAGTAGAAAAGGGAATGGAACTTGTCTGCTTACAAGATGCGTTTGAGAATATAACACTCGATGCTGATAAAGGGCAAGGAGACGCAGAAAAATGCATTGATAAACTCGAAGAGATTACTGAACTGGAAGAGGGGGAGGCGGGGAATTTGGATAATATTTTACTCAGAGCTTGTGAGCCTGATATTGATCGTTTATGCTCAGACAAACAGGATGATGATGAAAATGAAGGCGAGGTAATGCAGTGTTTGATTGATAATAAATTCGACCTCACAGATGATTGTAAAGCCGGCGTGTTACATTTCCAACTCATTGAATTGAAAGATATAAATTTTAGTTATAACTTCATGAAAGCTTGTAAAAGTGACGTCGAAAAAAATTGTTTGACCGAAGGGAATAAACGGAAAACTAAAAATGAGGTTGTTGAATGTCTCAGTGAGATACATTTACGAGATATTGTTGAAAAACGTGACGACACGATCTCCGAAGAATGCATCGCTGAACTTTCGGTTGAAAATTTACAACGCCACGAAGATATGAAACTTAATCCTTCATTGAAAAATGCTTGCCAAGCTGATTATAAAAAATTTTGCAAAAAAGGTAAAGTGAAGGGCATTGAATGCTTGCGAATGCACCATCATAAAATCAGTAATCAGTGTCGAAAACAACTTTTTAAATTCGAAAAAGAAGAAGCGATTGAACCAGACCTTGATTTCATTCTAAGAAGGACATGCAAATCAGCAATTATGCAGTTTTGCCATAAAGAAGGCGAGTCACAATCAATTTTAGACTGTTTGATTCGAAATAAAGAAAATTTAGAGGACGCCTGCCACGATATTGTCCATGAAAGAGAAAGGGAGCAATACTCAGACATAAACCTCAATCCGGAGTTAAAAGATGCTTGCGAAAACGATATTGACACTCACTGTAAAGAGATTTTGGATGATTTGAAAAAAGACGAATCGAAAGGGGATGACATGACCGGCCAAGTTACCGAGTGTCTCAAGGAAGTTGAACTAGATCAGGGTCGTGAACTCACACGATCCTGCTCAAGGCACATTCGATTCGTTATAAAACAGGAAGAGAATGATTATAGTTTAGATCCAATGTTGACCTTAAATTGCTTAAAATCGATTCAAGAAATTTGCAAACCAAATAAAGTTCCAAACGTAATTGAATGCTTGAAACATGCTTACTTCAACGGCGGTTTACAGAAAGAAACAATGTGTATGGTGGAAGTGGCGCGTTTACTCAAAGAAGGACGCATGGACATCTTAGCGGATCCTGTTCTACACAACCTCTGTCAGATGGATATACGACGCCATTGCAGTGACGTCGCGGAGGGCAAAGGTCGCATTATGGGTTGTTTATTATATACAATAGAACAGGGACAGAAAGAAGTCTTGCGTGATTGCGCGGATGCTCTAATACAGCGGAAAGAAATGTGGGACTATGCAGTTGAGCACGGTGCAAAGGGCTTCCCGGGTCTCATGAAGCAAGTAATGACTTCCCCAGACTCGAGTTACTTACTAACTGGTATAACTGCTTTTCTAATTTGCATCCTTATTTTGGGGATGGTCTGCGGAAGAGTAACAAAGCGTGTATCTCGGCAGAGAAAAATGCTTTGAAAACACATTTTTGACGATTTTATCGATGTTTAACATAAAAAGTGCGCTTTCCAACATTTGGTAAAGTTGTGTGTTATTAGGCTATAGCCACCCCCTACTTCCCCTGTTGTCACAGTTTTTGTTATGATGTCATATTTACTGTTTATGATGACTTGTCTTTGTATAATGTCATATTAATAGCGCTAATATCTGTTTTTCTTGTTATCATAACAAAGAGCCTGAGCATTGTTCAGAGCACAATTTTTTTTTTTTGGTCAAGTTTAAGGAATTTTTAAGCTTCAAGCTTCAATTAATAGAAGGACACATTTTTTTCAACTTTTTTTTTTTTTTGGGGGGGGGGGGTCACTACCTTTTAGGCAACCAAACTAAACTTGATGTATGGTAATCGTAGGTGAAAAAAAACATTTTTGAAACTTTGAAAAATACAGTTTGCTTAACAGTGGTATTTGTTATTACCATTGTTTCATCTCCCGGGATAAATATGGAAGTCATGCCCTAATTATTCATGATTTCAAAAAAAAAAGGAAACATTAAAAATATTTTAAACTGGGTCATGATCAACAAAAATACATAGAAGTCAATGTACATCTAATAAGAGTTGAATTCGGAAATGCAGGAAAGTTGAGATTTGATTTATTTATTTAAGTTCTTAGAAATCAAAGAAAGGCCTTTTTGGTCATTCTGCTAGAGTTGATTTATTCATTGAATATGGAAATGCAGTACATTTATTAAGATAAGCCATATGTGAGATTTGTTATAATCTGTTAACTATCGTAGTTAGTATATAGGGTGTCTATAAAGTCCCCAACATTTTTTGAAATTGCAAAGGGAATTTATCGATACCATATATTGTTTTGGCCCTCACAGATGTAATAAATGAAGTGAAAATACTTGTATAATTACTTATTAAAGAACAAACAAACCTGGTCAAGATATATATTGAGAACTGACTCCATAACAAAATTGAAATGTAAAGAGTCACTATGGACACCCTGTATTTATTGAGGTTGACTTCGAAAATGCAGTACCGTTAAGATAAGCCATATTTGTGAGATTTTTTAGATATCATTTTGTAGATCTTGCAACTAGTTATTATATATACAGAGTGTTCATGAAGTCCTTTTACATGTTCAATTTTGTTCCGAAGTCAGTTCTCAATATATCTTAATCAGGCTTGTTTCATTTTAATCTGTGTTTATTCCAACTTGGGAACAACAGACTATAAAATGTGGTATCGTCAATGTTAATGAAATTAAATTTGCATTCCAAAACGTCACAATTTTTTTGTCTCACAAAATATAAATGCCGACAAACTATAAATGATTTCGATGAATTCCTTTTGCAATTTAGAAAGTTTAATAAGATCTTACGAACACCGTGTATTATTTTGAATATTTGAGAATTCCTAGGCAAGAGGGCGAATGTAAAAATTACGAGTAAATTTAGATTGAAAAGGTTTCATAAACTGTTTTTGTAACCAAATTTTGAAGCCATATTCACCAAAATACTTCAATTTAAAATTGAGAAGAGTTTAAAGACAAAATATAGCTTTTCTCTATTTTTTTTAGTTTCGTATTTTTAGGTTAAAGCCCTTGTATTTTATTTACCTTGTCAAAAATTTTAAATGTATTTGAATATTCGATTCGATTCATTTTTTAAAGTTTAGTTATTAGTGATTTAACTTCACATTATGGTAATCACAAATTAGAATACCATACATCCGGATATGCACGTGTAAGCAACCAGGAAACTGTTATTCATTGTCTGCTAGCTTAACTATGCATTGTAACCTGATGTTCCAGCCAATTGATGGATACTTATCTAATTCTATGAAGCTGATGTTTGAAAATTTTCAAACTTACGGCATATTTATACCCTACTGCATGGCTACTAAACTATTTTTACCGAAGATCCGCATACAAAACTTCAAAATTATTTGGTCCGGTGTTTCCAGAAATTTCCGCACTTCCTCGACCGGCTAATGATTATTAATTTATTAGCTAGTCAAGATTGTTTATTATGGCGTTTTAGTTCTTTTCATATTATATTCAAAACTGTAAAAGTCATTTAATAGAAGGAAACTTCAAAAGTGAGGCTAATGATCGAAAATAAAGAATTAGGTCCGCCAGTTGCCCTGCCCAACTGTAAAACTACAAATCATGTCTCAATAAAAACTATTTTAATTCATTATCCTAAGTGATTCAAGACCTTGGTCAGACGAATCGTTTGAGCAGAGATGGCCAAACTACTGCTCGTTTCAATTCGGCGCGCCCGATGCTGCCGCAACAGAATTGAAACCAAATTTTGATGTCAAGCTAAAAATAGCTCATTGAGTTTGTTGAGATTGTGATTAAATTTAGTTTATTGGGCACTAGGCTAATTGTTTCCCACTTTTGCTTTGCCTAAAAAAATTACTTTTTATCCGTTACATTTAGATTATTTTGGCATAAAATGATTCGTTAAGAAAAAGTAAAGCTGGTTAAATCAAAAATTCAGCATATTATGGTTGTTTGTGCACGCAAAAACAAGCCCATTTTCACAGCAAAAACGACAAATTTAATAAAAAATTCGTATTCTCCATCATTAAACATTTTCAAAATTCTTATGAAATATAATCTCAACTTCTTTTTTGTAATTAAAAACCAAAATTGTTTATGAGGTAAATTTCCACCTGTAAAACCTGATTTTCATTTCAAGAATGGCAAGTTTTACAAAAATGTATCTTCCATTATATGAGAGAAAATATTCTCAAATTTTGAAAATGTAATTTCTTGACATCTTCACGTATAATAAGCTTTTTTAATTTTGTACACACCACAACCATGGTTTTGTGTTTACCAACTAATGTAAAAGATATTAATATCCCGCACCCCGGGGCTGTTTTGTGATTTAGAAGGCCACGTCGACAATCACTCAAGTGGATTATTGATTTAAAATAGAAAAATAATCTGGAATTAGAATTTCTCAAAAATGAAATTTGAAAAAAATTGAAATATCTCAAAGTATCTAATTCGGTACTTTTTCCTCTGACCAAAGTCAAGACTTCCTCAGATGCGCTGTTTACATTAGGGATCAAAATTTACGGAAGTTTTATGTGGCATAATTGTAACGTAATTACTGCTTCTTCTCTCTGTCTTTGTGTTATTGGCTGTATCGTTTCAGTGATTCTAAAGTCTTGCAATAACATATGAAATTTGAAAAAGATTGAAAGTAGCTCAAAGTATAGCACTTTCATAAATTTAATTCTGTTACGTTCAATCTGACTGAATCCCTTTTCCTAGACAAGCAATGATGTGAATAGGATATACGGCACAATTTATCAACTACTGCTACACTTTTTGGGTCCCTTTCTTTTTCATAGCGATGCCAAGTTTTGATTTTTAAATGTGTTTCCATTAGGTGTTTATGTGGGCCATTTTCAATAATGAAACCCAACGAAGGAAAGCAAAATATAACTCCTTTCAATTTACCTTAAATTAATGTGTTAGTACCTGATGAACCTGTGCTCATGGCTCATAGATAATTGCTCTATATGCACCTAGAAGAGTCAGGGTCAAGTTCGAGAAAAACACAAGTAGACGTGACAATTGAAAACTTGTGATTTGTCTAGTTTCTGATTTTTTTTGTATTTTAGATCAAGTTAGCTATAAAGAAAAGAGTTAGTTTCCCTATTGTCTGCTTTGAATAGTTTTTTCAGGCCAGGTCACTCAAAATTCTGTTTTTAATATTAAAATTGGAGAACATTTTTTAAAACTTAAATTCTTCTCAAAATTTATGATTACTTTGCTGTGTAAACCGTTTTTACAATAATGTTGTCATTTTAATTCAGTTTCTGACAATGTAATTTGCCCCGAGGGGTTTTCGTGCGGTGAACGTATTACAGGCTTTATTAAAATACCGCACAGCTTGTATGAAAGTATGAGATAATTATTATAAACAAAAGAAGCAATAATACTTAGTAAGAATGACTAAACTGAAAGTACATTTTAAAATAAAATTCCCAAATATCGGATTAATTTTGGATTTACTTGGCAAATAAATTTGTTCAAAGTATTTTATAATATGGTGAACAAAGGAGTTTGCAAAATATTTGTAAGATTCTAGAAATTGTATAATTACATTCTAATATAACGGTTTCGAATATTGAATAAATTGTCAGATTTGCACTTTCACTTGTCGTTAAATACTATCATTCTATTTTTCGAATATTTCGTCTCGTTATTTGGAGTGCCGCATAAACGCATTCGGCAGTTTTAACACCACCGAAAACAACGATTAACAAACGTTCAATGTTTTTCTTTCAGTCCCGTAGTTTGGTGTTATTTGGAGTGCCGCATAAACGCATTCGGCAGATTTAAAGCCGTCGAAAACAACGATTTAACAAACGTTCGATGTTTTTTTTTTGGTAAATCGCTCTCTTTTTCCGAATCGCGTAAATCTGATTCAAATTGATCCGATTCGTAAATCCAAAAGTGGCATCTCTAATTTCCACAGCTGAAAATGTTCTCTAGGATGTATTCGGAATAGCAAATTATTGGATTCTGGCTGAGCCTAGTTTGTTCCAACAGGCGAGCCTAAAAATGAATATGGATTAAAATCAAAACTGAAACAATTACAGCTTTAAATTGAAAATCAGGCCTCTGTTCCATAATGAGTAGAGACCAAAAAATTTCGTTCTTCGAAAAATGTGGCGAATGTGTTGGTTTTACTGTAGCAATATGCTAAATTCGACAATATTCGAAAATATAGTTTCAAAATGTATTCATAGTTGTAGAATATCTGGTTTCGCCAGGCTTTACCGAAACAAACCATTTTAGAGATGAAAAATCAATTTTTGTGCGCGTTCACCAGAATTGGCTATTTTCCAAATATTTGCTTTCTTCGGCATAATAATATATTTTAAACGTGATCAATCAATAATATCAAGAGATCAATCACTTTTGGAACCGTGGTTTATTTGTATCGTATTCATACACGGTATTATAAAACTGGCATGTAATGCACCACCATAATTCTAGTGCTTTGAACCGTGTCCTGAAAATTCGCCGCAAGAAATTTTGCTGCAAGATCATATGTCTGTAAAAAGGGTATAAATAAAGAATCTTTGGGGCTCCCGAAGTATGCGAACCAAGATGGCGGACATCGGAATGTAATATGTGTACTAGGTTAGGGTTAGGCTATAATTTTAAGTATAAATAATACGGGAGGCTCTTGGTTAGTCTTCGAACTGATAATAGGACTAGAATAAGGAAAATTGGAAAAAAATTATCGCCTAACCCTAACCCTAACCTGTTACGTTCCGATGCCCGCCATCTTGGTTCGCATACTTTGGGAGCACCGAATCTTTTTTAAAAAAACTGATTTTGTCACAGCAAAATTGCTCTTGCGGCAAATTTTCCTATGTGCCGAGATTTTGTGCGAGGAATTTCCGTAGAACCGCTTTCAACTGTTGCCATTTCGGTAGTTACATGGAATTTGGTTTGAGACGAGTCTCTATTACTTCTGAATGAGTGTGTGTTATGCACTACGTATATCTTTATTATGTAGATTTCTGCTTTTCAAAGGTTTGATGTACTGTAACTTTGTTCAGAAGTATTATCTTTGAACAAAAGCCTATAGACACCAATAGTCCACATCAGAAGTGTGCAACATTTTAATATTGGAGGGCAAGAGATAAATAACTGGATGAAACCACAACATAGGCTTTCCGGTAGTTGCAAGCTCCAAAATTTTGGGTATGGATTTTATGACATGCGTTGTTTGCTTCGAACAAGCTAGGTGTCAGGCCATTGTTATGTCACAGGCATAGGTATTAGATTTGAATCAGGTATAGGATTTGCAACGCAAAGGAATAACTTGCACATACCAGATCGAACTAAATTAAAAACTCCTTTCGTAGGGCGCAAAATTTTCTTGTGGGCAGCATTTGGCCCGCAGGTTGCACACCTCTGGCCTACATAATACACTCATGTGTCATTTTTATATCTTAACTATCCATAACCTAGATTTGTTTGTCGTGATATAATAGTGACATGTCACCAATAAAATATAGATATTTGAACTAAAATTTATAGCTATTTGGTCCCATAGCAAGTGGCTACTATCTAAATATACAGGCATATTAAAATATCTGAATGTGGATAAATTTTCTGAGTTTATGAATGGTTTAGAAAAGTTTTATTGACGAAATATTTTATCACTGATTAGGACTGGTATCGAAGATATCCAAAATGGATCCAATTTTCACTTACATTCAAAACTGTTTATATTTAAGAAGAGTGTTATATACTAAATTCTTGATTTAGAATAATTTAGGAAAGTTTCAGTTGATCACACAATATGACTGAAAACATTTTTATTCAATATACAAAAACAGGTTCTCCAGTAGTATGTTCACCAAGATGACTGACACTGGAACGCAGTATGTGTACCAGGTTAGGGTTAGGCCATAATTTCAGGCACAAATACTACAGAAGTCACCTTGCTAGTCCCCAAACTCGTAATGGAACTAAAATAAGGAAAATTACTTATACTACGTTTCAGTGTCCGCCATATTGGTGCACATACTACTGGATCGCCCAAATATTATTAGAAAACCAACAAAATCATCGTTTATCTTACAATGAACTCGCTGCATTTCCGAATTCAAACTTATTTATTGATAATGCATTAACCCCCTATGTGTTCATTGTTGATCCGGTTTAGAATATATTCCTGTATTTGTGAACATCATCATTGGATTATCCAAGTCATTGAACGTACATTGACATGTGTTATTGGACATGGCCAACATGACAACTTTAAAAAAGATTTTCAATATTCCAATTTTTAAAAATATTATTTTAGAAGGTGTTCAAAATTTGACACATTTTACGATTTATTCCATAATCAAAATTATTATTTTGTACTGTAACGGCTTCCATTTGATCTCGACAAATATCATCGAAATCCAATTTCTGGGTTAAACAGGACCCCATTTAAAAATATACTTCATAAATTTGGGTCCATATGTCCTTGATCTGACCTTGAGTCCGTGTGACTCAAAATCCAAGTTTTGCATATTTCTGCTGTTTCTAACTCGGGAGCCAGTATTAGAATATAAACTCTCATGAATATTTTATGTTCAGACGACATCTAGGCGTTAATTTTGACGGATTTTTATTGGTATTTCATAACAATTTTTCAATCTCAATTTTTTTCAGTGTTTTCAAACTTTAAATGCTTCGTATATCCTATGTAACTCTTGACAAGACTGTGGTTGCAACATAAATTAGATATTATGTACCAACCCCCTCAACGCTCAAAATATAAAAATTAGTAAATATCCGGTTTGTGTTAGAAATGCAGATTGTGCTGAAAATTCCAATCATTACTAACTAGGTAATATTTAATTTGATATTTTAAAACCTGCAGGGGGGGTGTTTTTCTCAAATCACACATTTTTGCATTGAGGGCGGGGGTTTCCCTTCAATTTTATTCGAATATCAACCTGTGCTTCCAATATTGCCAAAAAGCTTGTTTTGCTTCAGATAGAATAGTTCGAAATGGTATGAAATATTCGAATTAACAACCATTAGGTAAAAGGTAGAGCTTTTGCAGATATGGTCAATCTAACTCTATCTGTTGGGCGGATTATACATCAAACAGGGCAGGATTAGGTTGCCATGGACACCAAAAAAAAATTTTGTGGTATATCCCCCCCCCCCCCCCCATAGGCTTAAAACTTGTTCTAAATCCCTCAATTTAGGGAAGTTTGAACATTTTCTCCGCTGACAAATTTGTGTGGATACTGTGTGATGTTTCAGAAAGTTGAGCCACTAGAAGCAATTCTAATCTTTAATTTTTGCCCCCCCCCCTCTCTACCCCCAGACCTGGTCCGACTTGTACCTGTTACACAAATGCAGTTTGAACTACTATAGAGATTTTCTTAATAAAATGGGTTGAATTTTGTATGTTTTGTAGAATTGAAGGCATTTTTGGGTCTATTTTGTTTGTTTTTGATGCAAAAAGTTTTTTTGTTTTTATGGATAAATGCAGCCAATAACTGGTTCTATTTGCATTCAAGATTTGAAAAGTTTGTGCAGACTTTGCATTTTATACAATGAATATCTTTCATTTTCATGGTCAAATGGAACCAGCCATTGGCTGTATTTGTATATCAGACTTGTTTTGTTTATATTGTGCATGTTGGGATTTTTTTTCTTGGTTGCGAAAAGATTGTTTTGTTTTTGTACGTAAATATTGTGCCATTGTCGTGAACAAATACAGCCAATCACTGGCTTTATGTGTCCGGGACTGGCTGTATATGTACTGGATTATCGAATTGAAGCCATTTTCGTTTTTTTTGTGCAGTTTTTGCTCCTTATGTTGCAGAATTTTGTTGTTAAAAATATTTTTAATCTGTGTAGAATTACAATGAAGCATGTCTTGTTCTTATTTGCATTGTTGGTTACATATGGAACCACAAGGCAGGGTGTGTTGTTGTATATTAAGTGACCTATGGATTGTTTTGCTAAATTGCTGTTTAAAAAATATCGCTTTTCTCTGCAGCCATCGGACCGATTAAGTTTCAGTACTTTCAATGGGTTTTATAAAATCAGATCTTTCACCAAAATTTTTGCTGATTTATTTCATTGCATCCCACTTGTCCGCTAAAATTTCAAGCAAACTTAGCGTTACTGTACTTATTATCATTGTGTGCGACCATTATGTTCATATGTTTGAGCATTGCTCCCTTATTTCTGAAATATCTTAATATATCATTTTTATGAAATTGATTCTATCCAAAAATGGGCGCTCCAAGAGTGTACGTACCAATATAGAAATAACTAATTTTGTTCGCCTACTTTACATCAAGTTGTGTAAAGGGACTGAAACCTATGGGCAGGGGGTATATTCACTTGACTAATACTTGTCCCAGAACTTGTAATAGGAGTGAAATAAGGAAAATTGGAATAAAATCATGGCCTATCTCTAACCTGGTACACACACTACGGGAGTACCTGAAAATGACTGTTTATCAGAAATTCA